CTCTGCTCCCAGATGTAAAAGGCTGGTTCCAGGGGACACAGGCTTCTGTCAAAAGTTGCATTTCCTAAGACAAACAAGGAGGTTCACACATGCTCCCTAATTATCTGAAGGTTTTGTGTAAGACAAAACTGTTTTCTGTTTGAGTTTCCAGACTCCTGCTCTCCTCGGTTTGTAGTTTGGCAAGACACTGCAGCACACCATCAACAATGTACTTATTCGGTTTATTTACACTATTCTGCACTAGTCAAAAAGCCAACACATAAAACCAGATGTATTAAAACACTTTGGATATGCAAAAGCAATAACAGTCAATAAGAACTGTGAATTTTCACAGAAGTACTTATCTCTGATCAGAACTTTCTTTTTTTGTACAACAGCAAAAATTTTTCATGCTGAGTATAGAGCTGATTTTGGATTAAAGCAAGAACATCTTACTGTTACTTTGCCATGATGTGGTAAAGCAAGAGACATCTATTTCTACTCTTTCTTCCCTCTCGCCACCCCAACTAGACTTTCAGTGCCATCTTATGAAAGGGTGGAAAAAATTCAGTTCTGAAAAATGACAAATAGATGCTTTTACAATGAATAGCCCGATACTTTTAAGTGAATTTAATTATGTTCTATGACAAGCTTATGGGAATGAAACTGAACATTTATGCTGTTAGTCCACATTTTTTAAGGATAAAGAGAATGAAGAAAGGGTTTCAATTGTCACATATATGTGACATATATAAAAGTATAATGTATGTATTTGTATATCATATATATGTATGTATATATATTAAAACCAGAAGCTGCCTTACTTAAGATTGCTCTGATAAAAGACAAAGCTAAAGTTTTCACTATTGTTATTGTTTATTTGATGGACATTAGGAATTTTGCACGGAGATGGGTATTTTAAAAATAACTCATAAGGAAAATACCGCTTGGAAGGAAAAGTTATGGACCTCTGTAAATCTCAGGAGTTGCCAACCTCCACACCATTTCACGTGGAGGTGAAACAAGGTCAAAGAGCATTTCTGTGAAGTCAAAGGAGTCTTGCACCACAGTGCCTTTACATGCCACCGATCTGGATCCTTCAGGCTACAATTAGTCCAGAACAGATCACAGGTCACCACATTCCCATTGTGATCCACAACGAACCTTCCCACTACAAACTCCACCTATGATTTTGCTTGCAAAACAGAACAGAAGGAAGCTTTAGTGTTTACTACAAGTGGTAGTGTAGTTTCCTATGAAGAGCTGCTACAAGAGCCAGTAATGCACGAGGCACAGAAATCGCATTGGTATTACCAAGAGCAAGGTCTCTTTCCTGGAATGCTTTTAGACCCGGTGAAAAAGAGCTGAAAGATAAGACTAGGTCTTAAAAAACTTTACATACTGAGCCAGCATGTAAAAGAAAAGCTGAGTAGCTAAACCTGATTTGAGGGACCATGAGAATCAGCATCCCAAGAGGTGAGTCAGTGCAGGGCCACCAGTTTGGGAGAGCAGGAACCTCAGGTTCAGAAAATAAACACCAGAGAGAAGTATAATGCCTGCAGCAGAATTAGATGGACGGGAAATACTGCTGCGTACAGGAATTCTGTAGATCTGTCATGGAAGAAAAACAGCAGGTAGACTGGCAATGAACTAAGATTTGGTGGATGATGTAGGACACACAACCATGAGACTGAGTTGTATTTGTACAGATACTGGGAAGAGAACAGAGGCCATTAATTATTAAATAAAGGCACTCTGATGAAAAAGAGGGTGAGATACTACCATTTTAAAAAATTATTTTATAAATTATAAAGATCACCACCACTATGGAGATCTGAATTACAATGTATTCCTTTTAGGATAAGAACTACTTGGGGTAGGGTAAGGGGAGGAAGTCATGGAAGAAGCAGAGGTAAACACTTTTCCTTTGCCCCAATCCTTGGATCTTCTTATGTGGCAATGAGCATTTATCCATTACCCTTTTTCATGCCATATTCGGCATATGTGGTCTCAACTGCCAAGTTGGAAAAACTTCCAAGTCATAGTTTTGGATTCTGCTCCTGTGTGAATAATGCAGGTGCATGGAGATCAAATTTTATTTTAAATGGAGATCAAATTTTATTTTAAAAGAAAACGTGTAGCTTTATGTTTGTTGACAAAGATAATACAATGCCAATATACCCTGGTACAAGCATTATTCCACTGCAGAAAAGAAGTTAACTACTCTGGATTTAACACTGGCTCAGAGAAAGTAATTTCACATTTTGCAAAAATCAGTAAATATTTGAGCATATTGAGTATTCTCAGTGCTATGTAAATAACAGATTAAATAGACACAATATTCTATGCAACTAATTTAATGCCCAAAATAAATACATCAAAAGAATTTTAGATCAACAGCGCATTGTGTGCCATTATGAATAATGTGCTGAAATCTGCCAAGCTATTTTTGAACACTTTGAAAGAACTTCAGTATCAGAGATGTGACTGAAGACATGTTGATATGTTTTCATTACAAAATTTACCAATCTGGCAATGTAGGCTTCTTAAATTAGCATTAAAATACTGCATCTTTCTTAATTGAATCCCTACATCCTCTTTTCAGCAGAAACACTCTACAATGACACAGCATGATTATCCTAAACAGCCCTTAGGGACAGGAGACAGAAAAGTTTTAGGACATTTGCAATTCTTACACTGTTAGAGAAGACTTCTGAGCAGCCTGTGCACTTTCAGCCAAAAGCTCAAGGTGTTTTTCTATTTGTCCTATACATCCACAGTTTAATATACAAGCATAAAAGTCAGGTTGAGACCATTAATGTCAAGGTAAGGAAGTAAGCATATATTCTAGCACTTCATTATAAATACAGCTTTGCTAATATAAGGTAGGTTCAATAAATTTTTGTTTGGTTACATAGTCTTTTCAAATTTAATCTCAAAATATATTCAGTTTACATAAGTTCCTCTGAAACTGGATCAGTCACAGGGTTTTCACTGATGTTTCAAAACACATTCTCCACTTGCAATTCTTGAAAACCACTGCAGTTAAGCGGTGACAAAGGAAGAGCTTTATGATTTCAACTATGTATCAAAGGCTGAACTCAGGTTGTTTTGGAGTGCAAGGTATATTCAATCTATATTAAATGTAAATAGCAGAGGTTACTTTTTCTTACAGCGCAAAAAAAAGCAGGGTGCGAGCTGACTGTGAAAAGCTCTTTCTTTTAGCAGTCAATGGACCTGGGAGAATCTCAACAGCTCTCAAGTTAGCCAGAGGACCTTGAAAGAATGCCATTACTGTCAAGTCCTTCTGCATGTATTTTGGCACAAGTTGATTTCCCTATGCTGCTTTATGTTGGCACACTTTGTACACCAAACATTACATAACCTTCTGTCTAGCAGCATATCACCACTTATTTCCTGTTTCTTCTCTAAAATAAGGAAGCTTCTCTGCTTCAATCACTGTCTCAGTTATCTAGGGAATCAGTTTTGCTTACAAGGCAGCAGCCTAGAAGTCTGGACCAAGATCTAGAGCACCTCCTCAAGAGCAACTTCCCAAGATTCACAGCAGGAAACTAACCCTAGTTACACAGAGCAGCCCAGGCTTGAAGGAACCCTTAATGTAGGTCAAGCAAAAGATACAGGAGAGCTCAAATCAATGTTTAGACCTAGAGAATTTATTAAGAAACATTCCATGATTAGTTCTAATTCAGCTGTACCATAAATTTAATTAAATCTGCCCATCTACAGAAGCTATCAGCATTTCTTCATTACAACACATCCCTTGAGGATTAATGCCTCAGATATGCTATTATTGTCTTTCTAACTTCAACAATGTTAACAACTTCAAACCAAAGAATTTAAGGGTGCAATCTGCACTATCAGATTTGGATTCCTAGAGAACCTAGGAAAGAATTAAAAAACGGATAAAACACACATTAAAACAAAAGTATAAGTAACTATGTATTATTTTGTCACAGGAAGATGGTTTTGGATAGTAATAACTCAGCTTCTAAAAGGCATTACAATCACTTTTCATCAGAGGTTTCCTCACATTCCAAGCTACAATTCAGCCATGTATTTTCCAGTGACACAGACTTTAACAACCACCTTTCTGCAATACTCAAGAGTTCAATTTCAAGGACAGGACTCTAATAACAAAACAGAATAACTAGCTTGTTTTCCTACCTTTACACATTTGTGTATTAAAAGACAGCAGGCATTAAATTACCTCCAAGACTTGTACAGATGACTAAACCATGAATAAGACAGCACACTACAGAAGTAGGAGGTTCTCTTGAGTTGTGTGAGGAGCCAAACATGCGGCGTGCTCAAGAGGTACTACTCTTCAAAAAACAAAACTTCCTCGGACCTAACATCGCAGAAGGCTTCTTGAAGAAGGCGTAACAGCCACCTGGAGTTAATCTGTTAATCTAACTGCGGTCTGGAAAAGCAGCTGAATACACTGAGAAGAGTACGCTGGATACACAATGAGCAACTTTTCAACTCCTGAAATACTTCTGTCTCCTTACATGCAACATCTAAGACTTAAGCACAAAAGCCTGCTTTACCAACCACCTCTAATATTTCCCTTTACACTGTTTGCCGTTAGTAAGGCTGAAACTGGACACCCAGCACTTTCTCAGACCTTCCAACGATAACTAGGGCATCCACGATCTTTCCAAGCGGAGCTGTGAAGTTCGGCACCAAGGGCTCCCGCACCATCGACCCCCTGAGCTTCCCACGGCCCGGGAACCCACTCGGCGAGACCCAACGCCGCTCCGCTGGGCGGGAGGCTGGGCGGGAAGGGGACGGGGACCACTGCGCACCCCGGGGCGGGGAAAGGTCTGGGAGGGAAATGCCTGGCACGCGGGGAGGGGGCGCCCAGGCTTGCGGGAAGGCGGGAGAGGGGCCGGCGAAGGGCGGCCGCCTCACCGAGCCCCGCGTTCCCATGGCCGGGCCCTGCGAGCACCCAGGGCAGGACAGTCCCTTCCCCCGGGACGGGACGGGACGCGCTCCCTTACCCACGGTGGACTTGCAGGCCTCGCAGAAGGTGTCGTCGGTGAACCGCTCCATGAGGCTGGTCTTGCCCACCCCCCGCGACCCGATGATGATCACCTGCAGCTTGAAGTCGGCCGGGCGCGGCGGCTGCTTCCTGCGGCGGGACTGCCCCCCGGAGAGCGCCGGCGACCCCGCCGCCGAGCCCGCCCCGAGGTCCAGCCCGCCGCCCCCCGCCCTGCGCTGCGGCAGCCCCGAGCCCGGCTCCATCAGCCACGCATGCGGCGGCGCCGCGCTCCCTCCCCGCCCTCCCCGCCACCGGCGCCGACCACTGCGAGGCAGGGGGAGGAGGGGGCAGCGAGGACGAGACGCGACCGCCGCCCGGCCCTGCCCGAGGGGAACGCGAACAGCCACAGGAACGGGAACTGCGCCGCCGCCGCCGCCGCCGGGAGCGGCGCGCCCAAGCCCGCGCCCGCCCGCGCAGCGCCCTCTGCCGCCCCGGAGCCGCGTCCCGCCCGCGCCGCAGTGCCGGGGGCGGGGAGCGACCGCCCCGGAGCGGCCCCTGGCGGGACCGCGAGGTCTCTGGCAGCGGGAGTGGTTGGGGGGCGGGAGCGTCCCGCTTGCGAGGAAAGGCTGAGGGGCTTGAGCCTGTTCAGCCTCGAGTTGAGACAACTGAGAGGGGACCTCGTTTATGTGTATAAATATCTAAAGTGGGCGTGCCAAGAGGATGGAGCCAGGCTCTTCTCCGTGGTGCCAAGCAATAGCACAGGAGGCAATGGGCAAAACTGATGCGCAGGAAGTTCCACCTGACTATGAGGAAGAACTTCTTTACTGTGCAGGTGACTGAGCACTGGGACAGATTGCCCAGAGAGGGTGTGGAACATCCTTCACTGGAGATACTCAAGAACCACCTGGACGCAAAACTGTGCAAGGTTCCCTAGGACAACCTTGCTAAAGCAGGGAGGTCGGACCACATGGCCTGCTGTGGTGCCTTCCAACCTGACCCATTCTGTGACTCCATGATTCTGTTTCACCTAAATTTACCTTCAGGGAGTCAAGCAGGCCCCAGCCCTGGGCAGAGCCCTTGAGTGTGGCAGCACACGCAGGGCTGGGGTCAGCCAGGTTTGGATTTCACTGTCAAATCTGAACCTGGTACCCGCTGGCTCATGGGCATGGACCTTTTCATAACAACCTCCAATACCAGCTCAATTGTATTCCAAGCAAAGGAAAACATGGCTTTAGAGGAAGTAGAATAATAAATCATGTGAAGGAATAATTATCAGGATAAGTGTTACTCATTGTAATATTTGAGGAAATTTCTAACTCTCCAAGAGTTCAGAGAATACAGATTTTTCAGCAGCAGCCAGAGGCAAAGAGCACAGAATCACAAAATAGTAGAATGACCTGAGTTGGAAGGGACCTTAAAGACCATCTAGTTCCAACCCCCCTTTCATGGGCAGAGGTACCTTTCACTAGACCAGGTTGCTTAGAGCTCCATCCAACCTGGCCTTAAACACTTCCAGGGACAGGGCTTCCACAACTTCTCTTGCAGAGGTAGGAAGGATTCATGGTTTTAGCTGAGTTCTAGAGGTAGAGATAGCATCCTTCTGAACACCAAACGAAAGCTAGTGGAGATGTGAGAAAATTTGGTCCCCTTTTTTAGATTCTCACTAGCATTTGTAAGATAAGGAAATTCTACAAGGGAATGTCAAATTGGGATTTACATTTAAGAAATCATTGCCCTATAGGAATGATTTTCTCAGCAGCTAATTTTCTTGAAACAATACCATTTCACAGGATGGCTATGTTGTCAAGGGCAAAAAAGAAAACAATAACAAAAGCAACAGAAAAACCATTTTTCTTAATTGCCATTAGTTTTCATTGCCAGAATTATTGGCAGTCCTTCAAACAAGTAGAATGGTCTAAACCTTAAAACAGGCAAACTAATTCCATAATTTCTTGTGCATTACTCTCACCCCCTCCTCTTCTTATTGATTATCCATAGTGCTATAATTAGGTATTTTGAAGGGGCAATCCATCTCTGAGAGTGAAATAATCTAGCAAGTAACCTTTTTGTTTTGAGTTGGGTTTTTTTATCCCTTAGGTTCTTCCTCTAGAACTATAATGTTCTCCAAAATCTGTAACTTTGGTAGATTCTCAAGACTGCTTAGCTCTTCCTGAAGAGTGCAGACCCCTAGGTATGTTGTAGACATACAGTCTACAATTGTAGACTGTTCCCCCACATTCATTACTGGTCATTAGAGGAGCCTCAGTTCCACATGCTGCTTTGTGTTCTACCAATTCACTTTCAAAGAAGCTAAATCAAGCAAATCTAGATTGACCACTCTATTTCAGTACCTGCACATAGATATTCAGCAACATCAATATTCATTTTCAGTCCTTCATTAGATAAACTGAACTGTGAATACCAGGCTTCAATTGCTTAGCCTTGAGTGGTTTGTATCTTCTGTGCAGCAGGAGAGCTTTATCCTGATTAGTCAACAGCTGCAGAAAACCCACAAACTTGAAGTGAATTCCTTTGTGCCTCCAGTTTGTCATGTTTAGCAATCTGTCACCAGCCATTGCCTATCTTCCTTTTTCGTTCCTCTCTGGCTGTTAAGTGGGGTCATCTCACCAAGCATACATAGATTTTTCATGTTAGCTAGTCTCTGGCATCCAGACTTTTCCTTCAGCATCTATTTTCAGCTTCCCCACACTGACATGCATAGTCAACTGCTGAGTATCATAGAATCATAGAATCGTTGAAGAGAATATGTCAAGTTGGGAGGGACCCATAAGAATCCAACTCCCAGCTCCTCCCAGGACTGCCTAAAACTAAACCATGTGACTAAAGTTGTTATACAGGTGCCCCATAAGCTCTGACAGGCTTGGTGCTCTGTCCACTGCCCTGGGGAGCCTGTTCCAGTGAGTGACAACAATCTCAGTGAAAAACATTATTCAAATGTCCAATCTGAACTTCCACTGATGCAACTCTCTCGTGTCTCACTGGCACCAGCGAAAAGATCAGCACCACCCTCTCTGTTGCCTGCCTTCAGGAAACTGTAGACTGCAATGGGGTGCTCCCTCAGCCTTCTCTTCTGCAAGCTGAACAAACCAAGTGACCTCTGCTGCTCCTCCTAAGTCTTGCCTTTGAGGCCTTTCACCATCTTGGTTGCTCTCCTCAGGACATACTTAATAGTTTCATGTCGCTCTTGTATTGTGGTGCCCAAAACTGCACACAGGAGGTTTCCCCAGTGCAGACCGGAGTGGGACAATCCCCTCCCTCGACCAGCTGGCGATGCTTTGCCTGATGGCCCCCAGGACATGGTTGGCCCTCCTGGCTGCCAGGGCACTGCTGACTCATATTCAGCTTGCCACCAACCCATCCAATAGACCAAAAACTTGCCATCAACCCAAAGCAACCAGTAGAGCAATAGATTCTTATTTGTCAAGATCAAACTAAAAATCTCAGGCAAAATATGAAGTATTTGGACAACTTGCAGTACTGCAGGAATGAGTTTGTCATACCCTCAACTATGACACTCCAAAAAGAACAAGGGTTTTTTTCCCCTAATAGGTGGGTGTGAATTTTCTTTAGAAAACCAACAATACCATCAGTAGCTGCTGATGGAAAATTTTTCAAATAGACTTTCAAAATGGTCTTCTGAGTTTTGCTGTTTTATATCAGGCAACTTAATTTCTTGCTTGGAAGGAAGTTGAGAGACACTGGTGCCTTCATCTAGATTTCTTCCTCTCCTACCCATACCAGAAGAGTCATTATAAAAACATGGAAAATGGGTTCTCTGGCTATGCTGGAAAGAGATGACATAGGAAATGTGAAGTCTGAATTATGTCCTAAAGAAATTATTCTGAATTAAGATTGAATATGATTTTAATTACTTGTATTCATCTCAGATGAGTTTAACTTCTTTTAATTAAAAAAAAATGTGTTTGATTTTGGGGATAGAAGGTGTTAGAATCTGAGCTGCATGGTTATAACATAGATCAATTTGACTGAGGGTGTGATTTTTTAAAACCAAAATGCTGTTATCATTCACTGTGTGAATACTCCTTCTGTTATAATGAGATTTATATTGGTATGATTAATACACTTTCTCTAAATGGGAGCCTATATATATCATGTATTAAGTGCATGTGCATCAGCAGAATCATACCTACCTACGTACCTACATACATATATATATACACATAGGAATGTACTGATATTACTATATACAAATTTTTTGGTAAAGCTGTACAACTTTTATGGATATTCTGGCCTACCTTTCAACTCATTTATGTACAGAAATAAAAGATGACCATGGGGAAAAAAAACAATCAAAAACTAGCTCAAAAAGCAGAGAAAGAGATGAGATTTTGATTTCCTTGTAATTGTTTTGTGAAAAATAATCAATATGCTAGTAGGTAGTATAGTCTGAGTTGCAATGTTTTCATTACAAATTAAATTGGTATTGGCCAGCAGAAAAAAGCTTGGGGCAAAGCTCACATAGTTGGTACAGCAGCAGGGATGAAATAGAAAAAGAGCTTCTGTCCTCTTGAAAACAAAGAAACAAAAGAAAAAAAAAACAAACCCCAAGCCCCCAAACTTCTCATTTTATTAATTAGCATTTGTACGGAATAAGAGCTATTTTAATACATTATCCTGCTGTGTTCTAGGGGCAAATCTTAGCTAATATTTCCATCCCTCTTCTACATCCCAGGGTCCCAGTGCATGCGTTTATGTTCAGAAATGTGAAAGGAGCCTTGCTTCAATGTGACGAGCTGTTTGGAGATGTCACTTCATATCTGTACATTTAATTTCCACTGTACAGTCTTCAGTATATGTTCCCTATATGTCATCTGTCATGCCCAGGTCTAAACTCTTTCTTTTCATGCAGGGTTTTTTTCCTTCTGTTGTGTCTTGTGCCCTTCTAGGTTTTATCCAGGTGAAATTTATTTCAGGAGAATTATTTAAAAGAAAATACATGAAGTATTCTTTTGGAGAGAGTGGGATAAGCAGGGCTGATTGGAGTCTAGGTCTGTGACTGTCAAACTCAGTCTCTCTAAGCTTGAAGGATATTGAAGAAGTATTGACCTATTGGTCATTGTTCCAGTGGAAGGGACTCTTGCTACTCAATGGAGTACAGCATTATAGTTAATTTAAATGTCTCTTTAATCAATCTTTCTCACAATCTGTTGCATGATACTTATACCATCACATCTGAATTATGTTACTATTATAATTAATTTGTATTTTCAGTACACATCTAAAGGGATACCACTAT